AAAATACATACTATATTACAGAAAAACTAGAAATAAAAGTTTGAAACAGTTATTGTAGTTATTTTTGCTGAAAACACTTTTAGTTGGCTGCATAGAAAATATCTTCTTTCTTCAAAAAATTCATTTCTTTTCACAACTTGAGGTGAATCTGATAAATTGTTCTGATAAACCTCAACTAAATTAATACAGACTTATAGATTATAAAAGGAGCAAGTTTTTCTAAAAGTGGGGTAAATGTAATATAGTTAAAAGATGATAAAAAAAAATCACAAATAGTTCATTACTTTTTTTTTTAACGGAACATAGTTGCTTTCATACACTCAATAGTCATCTTTAAATAGTTCCAACAATGAAAAACTACATCCGTTTAAAAAAAAATTATGCCTATAAAATTTACTATGGAGCAATATTTAATTACTTAATTCGAATATTTTTTTTAAGTTATTGCATCCTATTCAACAAAAAAACGTGACTCGCTTAAAAAACACAAATATTAAATTTTTTACTTTTCTGCTGGAAATTGGCCCATTGTTAATATAAACTTTTTCGTAGCTCTTAATGTCTGCTTTCACTGTTATCGAAATGTTTCTCAACTTACGGAACACCCTGTATATCTGTCTATAATTCAAATGTTATTTTAGTTATTTTAAAAGGCTCGGATAGTAACCATGTTATTTAGCTAATTCTTGGTCATCTTTTCATGTCAGACAAATGTAATCAAATCCATTATAATTATTCTTAGGGGACAGAATATCTCAGAAGAAAGTACTTTTCATTCTTTGTATATATATATATATATATATATATATATATATATATATATATATATATATATATATATATATATATATATATCTTCTTCCACGGCACTACAACTCATGAAGAGTCTTGGCCTCCTCAAGACGTGTCCGCCAGGCGTCTCTATCCTGCGCAGCCGCTTTCCAGTTACGTACACCAGGTAGTGCACGTGCATCACTTGCCACACAATCCTGTCATCGCAGCCGTGGTCTTCCTACTTTCCTAGAGCCTTGTTCATTGCTCTCCATAGTATTTTGGGGGATTTCATCATTTTGCATCCTCGCCACATGCCCTGCCCATCGCAGTCTTGCAAGCTTTATGATACTTATGATACCCGGCTCCTAGAATAGATTGTGAAGCTCTATGTTATGTCTGATCCTCCAATTCGGTTCCTCGGGTACAGCACCATAGATTCCGCGGAGCACCTTCCGCTAAAATAGCACTAGGACTCGCTCGTCTCCAGGCTTGGTCCAGGCTTCGGAGCCATACATCAGTATTATTTATTTATTTATTTTATTATTTTTTTTTCCAAACCCCTTATTTGAAAGTTTTGCTCTTTTAATTTTCCGACGTTTCTCCTTTTACTGTAGTAAAACTACATTCTAAGGAGTTTTTGATTTTCATATTCTTATTACTTTATTTTATTTTTAATGTTATTTCTGAGCACTGGGGCGTGCTTTAACTTTTTGATTTGGTTTTCGCTTAATATTACTTTCTAAATCTATTCCTTAAAACTAATCTATTCTATTCTATTTCTATTACCGCTTGCTGCCATCTAACAGGGGCTGGTGCTGGGGTTAATGTCTTGAAGAGGGGTTGGTAGTCAGTTGAAGTGAGTCGAAGAATTTGATGTGCCTACGTCTAATGAATTCTGGAACTGTGGGAAGTTCAAAGAATTCGTGTAGTTTTTCCATCTTCATTTTCTTCAGTGATGTGGAACGGACTATTTTCCTCAATATTGAATTTTGAAATTGTTGTAGATGTCGTTGTGTTCCTTCTCTGAGGTGGGTGAAGAGTGGGGCTCCATATAGTAGGGCTGGTCTAAGTATTGATTTGTATATTTTAATTTTTAGGCGGAGTGAAAGAAGTGGTGATAATAATAGATGGTGCAGCCTGTAGGATTTTCTTCGGACTGTGCGGGCCTTTGAGTAACAGTGAGCTGAGAAGGTCATATGGCGGTCAAGTTTTATACCTAGGTATAAGATGGAGTTTGATGTGCTCATTATTGTTTCGGCTACGGTGAAAGTGCGTGGAAGTTTTGATTTCTTTCCTTTCTGAAAGGCAAACACCACGCAGTCTGTCTTTTCTGGATTTACATTGATGTTCAGATGTGAGAGTTTTCTAACAATTTCCTGGCATGTAGCTTCGGTGTTTAGTAGAGCTTGTTTGGGGCTTATGCTGCTGCTATAAATAGCAATATCGTCCGCATAGGCAGCGATTGTCGCTTTTTTGTAGTTGTGGCCTACTATCTCTGCAGTGTAGATGGAGAACAACACAGGGGATAGGACAGCCCCTTGTGGTACTCCGCATGTCAGGTGGATTGTTCTGGATAGGTTGTTACGAACTCTTACAACTAGGCTGCGATTGTTTAGAAACGAGACTATGATGCCATAGAGTTGCTCGGGGCACCCGAGATCCACGAGTTGGCGACATAACAAGCCGTGGGAGACGGAGTCGAAAGCCTTCGTGCAATCTATGGAGATCATAGCTGTCGCTGTATTCTTGTTGAGGTCTCTACACACCTCGGATTGGAGTTTCATAAGATGATGTTCAGTACTGAGGTGTGCCTGAAAGCCAGTTTGTTCGTAGGGAATTATCGCGTTTTCTTCACAAAAGTCTTTCAGATACTTGAGGATAATTTTTTCATAGACCTTTGCGAGATGTGTTATAAGGCTGATTGGTCTATAATGTTCTTCTTTATCCCCTTTCTTGGCTGGTTTTAACAATGGAAACAATGGTATTGCATGTTTCCATTTCTCCGGGAAATATCTCATTCGTAGGCAAGAATTGAACAGGTTTGTAAGATGCGCTAAGGCTTTTTTGGGTAGATGTTTTAGGAGAATTGTCTGGACTCCGTCGTGGCCAGGGGCACGATTTCCGTTTGTTCTTCTTAGAATGGTTTTTATCTGTTTGGGGCTTGTAAACATGTAGTTATGTTCTTTTGTCATTTGTGGGGTCTCGGCAACAAAAGTCCGGGCTATTATATCATGTTTATAATATTCCGCCAGTCGTTCTGCTTGTTGTGCCAGTGATAGAATTTTGTCCCCGTCATGTAGTCTGATACATCAGTACCGGACGAATGAGCGTTTTATATTAAAGCGCGTTAAAGCTGTGTCTTTGTGCTGCGAGAGATGAGTGTAGTTTTGAAATGCTCATTCGCTGTAGTATTACCTCCAATACACATGTATTTGGTTTTTGCTTATTTAATAACCAGTCCTAGCCTCCTAGCCGCTGCTTCTAGTAGGACAAATGTTTCTTTCAAAGCATTCATTGATCTGGCCATTACGTCGATGTCATCGGCATATGCAAGTAGCTGTACAGTGTTATTCAATAGCGTACCAGTAGTCTGGATGCCAGAATCCCTCACAGCTTTTTCGAGTGCCAGGTTAAATAGGAGGCATGTAAGAGCGTCTCCTTTTCGCAGTCCTTTAGTTGTCATGAACCTCTGTGATAAGTCTCCCTGTACTCGGACGACACACTCTACGCCCATCATGGTGATCCTGACGAGGCGGACTAGTTCATTTTAATCATAGCCATGTATAACTGCGCTCTATCGATGCTATCGTAAGCAGCTTTAAAGTAGCTTTTTTTTTTTTTGGTCCTTCCCTTCCTCGCCGTTAGGCCTATACGGGATTTTCCCGGGCCAGGGGGTGTGAGCGGGGATTTAAAAGACTCCCCCGGCACCGGGACGCGAACTTGTGTCTATTTTTATATCTTTGATTCATATGTCAGGTTGCCAGGCAACGGCGGTGCAGTGCACACACGCTTTAGCCCATTCGGCCACCCCGCCCACATCCTGGGAGCAAGGGCAAAATTCAGCAAAACTCCGCCCACAAAAATATTATTTCATTTTTTGTGACTCTTCAGACCAAAAGAATTCCCCTCCACATCTCCCATCCCCATAGATTCACCAATGCCTCACAATATCTTTTTCTATTTTCAAGCAAATGTAGGGCAATATGCAGCATTGTACCGAAAGTTCTCTTGTTTTCATCCTTTATGTTATTTTAATCATAATCTTGGTGAAGGCATTCAAAAATTTTCTCATTCCACATTCAAACTGAAGTTATTTCTAATTCTGAATGTTTTTATTCGAGAAATAATGGTTTGCTGACGTAATCATTAAGATGTACCTTATCAGCTGTAAAAAAAACAAGTCATTTAATATTACAGAGTAAAACTATTTTCAATATTTCAATATTACAAGTGAACTAGGATTTATACTTATAGCCCAAGAAAATATTAATATTTGATTTGTATCTTATGATTTGTACTATTAACAGTGTAACTTGTACTTTTAACTAGAATTTTGTAGTAAGTACTACGTTATCACGACATGAAATTGTTATCATGACACGAATGCAAACTACTAGTACGATAGGATTACTATTTGCTATTAAGTATACCTACTAATGACTAAAAGTGTTAATTGATTTTTCTTCCTTCTAAACGGTGGTACAGAACTCAAACTTGTTCGATGGATTGAGCCTGTTTTTAAATTAATCTTCTCAAAATTAACCTCTCTAAAAATAACCTAGCCTCTTATTAACTTGTACATTTCTTCTTATCAATAAAAAGTATTAGTACTTGTACTTTGTAGTTTTGTACACTTATACTTTTTACTAATACTATCAGCTTGATTATGAAATAGGCTCCTGATCTTTTTTAATAGTAATAAATAACAAAATAATTTTAATACTAACTGAATTTTGACTCTACATCAATATAATTATTGAATCAGTCATATAGTTGATTGAATTATTAAACATTATTGAATCAGTCAGTTTATCATATATAATAAATTAATATAGTATGGTTGAAATTTAATGTCCAATATAAAAATAACATTGCAGTGAGTTCTTTATAACGGTTGATGTATTAAAAATGTATATTAATGCAGGTCTAGCATGTCATTTGGCATTTCAAATGTATCCTCATATATTAGTAATATTTTGTTTGTCACGCATGATGTGACCGATATAATGGACAGAGTCAACGTCTCCAGTACGATGGTGAACGGAGTACACAATGCACTATCGCTAATCCTAGCTATGTCCAAGGCTTTTGGCGCCTTCACCATGAGGGCTAAAGGAGAGACCTTCGTTTTCTCTTGTAAACTCGTTGCTTATTTTATCGTCCTTACAATTGGGGCTGTTGCCGTAGGGATATTTGAAATCTATGATTTAAGCAGGGGAAATCCCATTTCCCTACCGATGATTATCGAAATTTTTGTTTTTTGCTTTAATACACTGACATCCATAATAGTTTTATACCTACACTACCGTCTCCGAGAGTCCCTCCCAGCTATAATTTCAGAGCTTGACGATATGGATAAACTTATTGGCAATGTCTCTTACAATCGGCATTACAATTATGGAGTAATCTTCCTGTCTATACTAAACGCCTTGCCCGCAGTCTTTGCCCTCGTTTGCAGACCATTCCTCTGGATTGACCTCATCATGTGGATAGTGTACTACTTTTTCACCATAACAACCGCTTTAATCGTTGGGCAATACGCCATTCTATTACATATCCTCAGCCGCCAACTCCATATGCTCTCGGTTCAACTTAATACTGTTATATGTAAACTCAAAGTTTGGAGTCTGATAGAAATTCACCACAGCCTCGTTCTGTTGGCGGACAGAATCAATAGAGCATACGATATATTTCTATTTCATATGATCACCTTCACATTCGTCATCAACATCATGAAGTTGTACTTTGTGATCGTTTATATAGTGAAACCTGTTTCCTACACAAACCTCGAACTTATGACGATCTCTGTTGCGGATTTCCTGTTCAACTGTGGATGCTTCATTATTATAGTCTTTGCAGCAATGGAGGCTACGAATAGTGTAAGAAAATGATTTCATATCCACATTCATGGTATGAATATAAATTCAGAAAGTGAATCTCAATGATGAGATTATGTATGTGTGTGCTCCTTGAGTAATGAATCAAAGTTAGATTAAAGGGAAAGATAATCTCAAATCAGTTCCAAAAAAAAGTATTTAGGTATGTATGCCGAATTTGTCCGTCATGTTTTTTTAGATATCTGTATACCTTATTACATAACAATTAACACATTAGTTGTAAATTAATTAAATGTCGCTTCGAAATCTTGAGTCAGACATCATCTAAGCTTTAATAAATTCATTACTAATAAATTTAATCGAATCATTTGATACAGATATTTCGATTGATTTACAGATTTGGTACTTTATTGGAATTGAAAGTAATTGTGCCTTCCTAATTATAAAAATAAAAAATTATTTAATCATTTTTTTAATATGTTAATGATATTTACAACTGTATTAAAGAAATACACTTAGTAAATTTGGATATAATGACGTGAAAACACTTGTTGAGAAACTACCTAATTGTAGCACTCTGATGATATGACTACATTAGGAGATCACGGGGCCATCTTCTTTTCAGACGCCTCGGAGGATTATCAGGAATTGAAGAGGAAGCAAGGTTAGAAACGAGAGCGTTGGGATAATTCTGAAGTTTAATATGGAAGGATAGGTATAGCTAGGTATGGATTGGGCTAGATCTAAAACATAAGAAACATTAAGGTCATTATGGTTGGTTTTATTTGTAACAAGGTAGGGGGCATTGGAGGATTTTACGAATGATTTTGGATTGTAAGGATTGGATATAAGAGAAATTCGATGGTTTAATGGAGCTATATAGCTCAACTCCGTAAGTCCAAATAGGCCTTCTTGTAGTAATGTATATGAGTCTTTTGTAATAAGTTGGAAGTTTAGAGCGTTTGTCTAGTAAGTGCTGAAGTAATCGTAAAAGTGGAGCGGTTTCTTGTCTTTTCAGTCTGGTATAATTTATATAATTTAAACGCCAATGAAAATAAAACATTAATAGATGTAAAGGTAAATTAATGTGTTCTCCATAAAATCTATATTGCTTACATTAGTCTTATTACAATTATTATTATAGCCATTATTCTATCATTTTATAGCAACGGTTTGCTCAATCTGAAAATCAATAAACTTTTCGAAAATTACACTTCGGATTAGAAAATAATAGACTCATTCATTGCAATTATTTGAGACCAGAAGTTAAAATTAATCGATTCTGCAATCTGATTCATAATAGTATTTTTGAATACTTGAGACCCCGAAAATGGCTCTTATTATCGAAAAATGTATGGGGAATAAATGATTTAATTAACAATGATTTAGCTTTCTATAACATTGGAAAAGTTTCTTAAATTAATTTTTTGGTTGATTCGGTAACTGCTGATAGTTAAATTAGTTGCATTTAAAAAAAAAAAAATGTAATCAGCACAATATTTAATTTAGAATTTATCTAGATTAACAATTATCTAATGCATAAATCTGGTAACTAAGATTCCAAAGCGAATACAGTCATGACTTGGCAATTACTCGCTGGTGGCAAAGCAACTCATTTATCTTAATGTCTTCAATAATATAAAAACTGTTGCGAGATACGTAATTATTATTACGTATTTATATAAGAGTATGTGTGTGTGTCTTAGTGATGTTTATTCATAAAAATGTTTTTTTGCAGGCAGGAATCTTTAATGCCCAACTTCTGAAAAATCTTCTGATCAGTAAAACTATCGCCAAGGATGTAAATATATACTATATAATATTATTAATACATCATAATTACAAGTTAAAAATATAACTGTCAATTGAAATGAATCCATAAACATTAAGTACTTGACATCTAATGTCCTATATGTTATCATTAGGTATTATTATCATTATAGTGCCGGCCTTAGATATTTGACGCCCCTCCCCCTCCCGGGCAATGACGTCATCCTCCCCTGAAAATAATAAATTTATTTCTTACGTTATTTTTATGTAATTTTTTAATTTTAGCATTCAACATTTCTCTAAGACAGTTGCATTACTAGTGGGATAATATTAATTATTTTAATGCGTTTTGTATTCTATTTTTTTATTTCTAACGAGTATCAAAAGCCCCGTAACATTGACCTGCGCCCCGGGGCAATTGTCCTGGTTGCCGCACCCTAAAGCCGGCACTGGAGAACTGCACTATTCTATGTTTTAAAGAATTACAATAAAAAAACTAGAACACTAAGTAATCACTATAGGAATTTTAAATTCATGTTAGACATAATAATAAATTAGTTTTTAATTTAATAACCGAGTAGTTTAGTTTTAATCTGTTTATTGAATAATAATACAATCAGCCACTGCTGGAGGGCTATAAGAATTAGGGCTACAAGTTCTCATTCATACAATATATACAAATAATAAAGAAATAAATATAAATATAATAAGTAAATAAATTATACTGGTGAAGAAGTTAAATAAAAATAAAATAAACAATTAAAATAAAATAAAAATTTCTAAACACAATCATATCTATATACAATATATACATTCGCCCAAGAATCTCCGAGCCAGGCTTTTTCCCCCATACGTGGAAGGCGAAGCAAGACTAAGGAAGATCCCAGCGCCACTTTTCCAGCCGCATCACTAGTATTAGAAGCCAATGGAGACTGAAAGAGGGCACTAGAGCAACAGACGCTGGGACATGAGTGGAGAAGCTGGCCATTGCCAGGACTCCAAAGGCATATTTACAAAAGATCTCGAGGCCACTGCCGTTTCAACCTTCGAGGGGGATGGTATGGATGTTCGGAGCTGGATAGGGATTGCGCTAGAGAATAGGGATGATGAATGAGGTTCTGGTGAAAGTTGGAGAATCTGGATGGGATGATGTCATGGACATATGGGATGTTAAGGTCATGGTGTAGGGTCTTGTTCGTGACATAATATGGAGCATTGACTATTGTTCGAAGGACTTTGGACTGGAAGGATTGGATGCGTTTGATATTCGATGATTTAGTTGTCCCCCACAGTTCAAGTCCGTAGGTCCAGATAGGTTTCAGTATGGTCTTGTAGATTAATAATTTGTTTTCTGTTGAGAGATGAGATGTTCTGTTTAGTAGTCTATATAGCTGACCAAATCGTCGGTTAAGCTCTTGTCTTTTAAGTCTGGTATGTGGGTTCCAAGTCAGTCTTCTGTCCAAAAGGAAGCCAAGGTATCGGACTGTGTCTGAGTAGGGAAGAGGAATTGAATTAAAAAGGATTGGCGGACAGGATCTGCGTCGAAGAGTGAAAGTTACATGCTTGCATTTTGATTCATTAATTTTGATGCGCCAGTTGTTGCACCACTGCTCAATGAAGGAAAGGTGTCTTTGCAGGTTCTGAGACGCTATTAGAGGATCCGAGTGAGAGGATAGGATGGCAGTATCATCAGCAAATGTTGCTAGGAATGTATCAGGACTTGAAGGGATGTCAGCGGTGAAAAGGAGGTAGAGAACTGGGCCCAAGACACTGCCTTGTGGAACACCAGCCTCAATTGGATAAAGTTTGGAGAGTTCAGTGCCGCAGCGGACTTGAAAGGAGCGATTTGAAAGGTAGGACTTGAGGACTAGGTACAAGGGTTGAGGTAAATGGGTTTTGAGCTTGAAAAGCAAGCCATCGTGCCACACCCGGTCGAAAGCTTGAGCTACGTCCAGAAAGGCACCAGTGCAATATTGCTTGTTTTCAAGTGCAGAGGATATGTGGTCGACAACGCGAAGGCCTTGTTGGACAGTGGAGTGTCTTGAGCGGAATCCAAACTGATGGGGAGGGATATTGTGGGATTCGAGTATGGGTAGGATGCGTTTGAGAAGGATTTACTCAAAGATTTTGGAAAGGATCGGAAGTAGGCTTATCGGTCTATAGGATGATGTATAATTAACAGGTTTACCTGGTTTAGGAAAGAGGATAATTATGGAGTGTTTCCACACCAGAGGAAAGTGGGTTGTGCGGAGGATACAGTTGAATAGGTATGTAAGGAATATAATTGCTTTTTTGGGAAGTTGTCTGAGGATCTGGGAAGTAAGGAGATCGTGTCCTGGAGATTTGCGAGGTTTTAGGTTCTTTAAAAGGAATTTGACCTCAGAGGGGTTGACGGCTGTAGGAGGTAAGGAGAGAGGAATCGGTGAAGAGAGGAACTCTTTAACTTCAGCAGTATGGGAGGGATGGAGTTCAGGATGAGGAGTGAATGTGTACGATAGATGTTTAGCAAACTCTTCTGCTCTATTCTCATCTGACGAAGCCCAGGAACCATCATCACGGCGGAGGGGGTGGGAAATGGATTGGAATTTAAGGATTTTTTTAGTTACATTCCAGATGGAGTTATCACTTGCAGATAGTGAGGAAAGATAGGAATTATAGGATTGCGATCTAAACGTGGCCAGTTTTGTTTTACTTGCTTGGAATAATAGTTATATGATTTCCGATCATCAGGATGCCTGGTTCTTTGCCAGATAGCCCTAGAGCATCGTTTTCTATTAATAAGGTCCAGTAGGTCTTGGGGTAGAGGATTTGTTTTGCGGTATTTTTTAGAAGGATCAGGTGAAGATGCAGTCCAAACTGCTTGTTGGATCAAGGTAGTCATGGAATGTACTGCTTCATCTAGGTCTGTAGGTGTTTTTAAGGAAACTCTGAGGTCAATATTATCATCCAGCATTTGACGGAAGAGGTTCCAATTAACTGGCCCCCTGATAAATGAGGGTGGAGGTGGTTTGGGAATTGGTGATGTGGAAACCGTTAGGATTAGGGGACTATGGTCTGAGGAGAGATCATCAAGTCTTGAGATGCAATAATTAAGGGACCCTAGACCTTTGTGGATGAAAAAATCTAGGAGATCGGGATTGCGGTTAGGATCTGTTGGCCAGTATGTGGGAGAATTGGGTGAGAGGATGTTGCTGTGATGGGAATTAAGTGCAGCTAGCAATGTTCGTCCTCGGGAATTTGTGGTTCTGGCTCCCCATTGCTGGTGTTTAGCATTTAAGTCTGCA